TTGTTCTGTCCATTCTCCTCTCGTCGATGTCTATTCTTCAATAGAACGTTCGGGGTTATTACGCCAATTTCCTTTAACTTCAACTTCTGATTTCGCGGTTTTTGCCCCTTTGTTTGTCTTCAGGAGTCGATGCTTGGTGCTCGTCCTGGTCGCTTTCGTGGCTATTTCTTTATCTTCCCCCCCCCCATCCCCCCCCCCTCCAGTTGCTGGGCTCCTAACTCTTCTGCTCTCTTGATTCGCTCTGATGTTCCCTTTGTCCCCTTACTTTTTCCTTCGCCTCTCCATTGATCTGCTGCTCGTATCTTTGTGGGGAAATGGTACACAGTTTGTTCCATTAATCTCCCCCTTCCCCCCCCCCCCTCAGTGTCCCGCTTTCTCTTTCTGATCTGACACGCCTACTGGACTCCTTGCCGGAGTCTGTGCTTCTGCTGGGTGATTTCAATTGTCGTCATTCTCTTGGGGGTGATGTTCTGACGAACACCCGAGGTCGCCTTCTTGAGCCGTTTATCCGCTCTTCTTCCCTGTCTCTTCTGAATTCTGGTGAGCCCACGCATTTTGACTCTGGGACTCGCACCCTTTCCTGTCTTGATCTTTTTCTTTGCTCGTCTTCCCTTTACTTAGATTTCACGTGGCAGGTTATTGATGACCTCCATGGCAGTGACCATTTCCCCATCCTTGTTACCTTTTTCTCTTTTCACCCTCCCTTCTCCTTCCCTAGGTGGCAGTTTGTTAAAGCGGAGTGGAACCTATTTACCCTCGGTGCTACTCTCTGACCTCTCCCTTCTGCCTCTCCCTCGCTCTCGACCCCTTTTTCATGACAGCTGTCTTTGACGCTGCACTCTGCTCTATTCCTCGCCTTTCCTTTCGGGGTCAACGGAAGTACGTTCCATGGTGGAATGCAGACTCTGCTCGAGCTGTAAGCGTGCAGCCTGGAAGAGACCCCCGCCGTCGGCAAACGGCCGATTCTTTTCTTTGCTTTCGGAAGGCGAGTGCGGTGGCCCGTAGGGCCATCCGTACAGCTAAACGTGAATGTTGGGCATCTTGTCTCCATTACGTCCGAAACTTCTGTCACATATCTGGAAGCATATCAGCAAGATAGCTGGTAAGTTCGTTCCCGATGTTTCACCGGTCCTTCACCTCCATAGTACTCTTGTACCATTGCAGGCAGGTACCGAACATGGATTCCCACTTTCCTCATGTTAGCTCTGGTCTTCATCTTCCCTAATTTTTCCTTCTTCGTAAACCTGTCCTTGAATCTCGTCCTTTAGATTTCTGCACTCGTCTTCGACTTCCCTATAACGATTCTCTCTTTTTCTTTTACTCTTCCCCCCCCCCCCTCTTTTCCTCCCCCCCCCCCCCCCCCCTCCACACACGTTGTTCTGCCTTGGCGCTCTGTGGTACTCCGATACGATGTCATTCATGAGACGCTTCTCCATCTCCCTCCGTACACGTTTCGGTATTTACCAAGTCTGTATAATCGGATCTGGGAGTCGTCGTCAGTCAGAGGACTGGCTCGATGCCGTTGTCCTCCCTGTTTGCCAACCAACGTCTTTGGGAACATTCCCTAAGGACTTGAGCACTATTGCCGTCACAAGTTGTCTGCAAACTTTGAACGTATGGTTAACGTTCGTCTGATGTGGTTCCTGGAACACAATAGCCTCCTCCCCTTCTCAATTTGCTTTCCGCAAGTGCCGCAGCACAACAGATATCCTGGTGAACTTGGAGGTCTATATTCGTACAGATTTTGCTGCGAAGACCTCCGTTGTTGGCGTCCTTTTTTTACCTGGAAAAGGCTTACGACACCTATTGGCTGTATCATATTCTGCCCCAGCTTCCATCTTTTGGCCTTCGTAGTGGAATCCCTCTTTCTCTGCAGCTTCCTCTCTAGTAGTTTCTTTCGGGTGACGCTTGGTATCGCCCTGTCTCTTTTCAGCAATACGAAGGTGTAGTGTACTGAGCACTACTTTTTCTGGTTGCCCTCAATGGTCTTCTTTCCTCTTCCTTCAGGCGTCTTCTCCGCTCTGTCGATGATCTTACCCTCTGGTGTCAGGGTGGTGATTCGCCTCTCCTTCAACGCCGACTTCAACTTGAGATTGATGCAGTGTCGTCTTGGGCCACCGATCATGGCTTAGTTCTCTACTAAGACTTATGCCATGACTTACTCAGAAACGGGTCGTTCGTCGTCCCTGTGTCACTTTAAGGTCATCCCCTCGAGTATAAAGATTCCGCGAAGCTTTTGGGGTTATTCTTTGACACTTGTTTGCCTTGGTCTCCTCATATCTCTTACCTTCGTGTTGAGTTCTCCAAGGCCCTTACCCTCCTTCGGGTATTGTCCCATACTTCTTGGGGAGCAAATAGGCGCGCACTCCTTGCTTCACATTCCTCTCTCGTTATGTCTAAGCTCGATTATGGTTGTCCTGCTTACTCGTCTGCTTCTCCTTCTACTCATCGCCGTCCTGATGCTTTGCACCATACTGGGTTGTCTCGGTTCTGGTCGCTTTCGTTCGACTCCTATCATCGGCTTGCATGTTGACACTGGCTTCCTGTCTCTCCAGGACCGTCGTGATCGCAACTGTCTTCGCTATCTTGCACGGTCCTTGCAACTTCCTTCCTCTCGCCTCTGTCGTGCTTTAACTTTTACCCCTCCTGCGGTTCCTGTTCCTCTTCACCACCTCCATCTTTCTGAGGTTATCTCGCTTACAGGATTCTTTTCCGTTCAGTTTTCTAATATTTCTCCTTGTGTTCCTTCTTTTCCCCCGTGGAGAGTCCCCCTTCCACAGTTTTGTACATCCTTGACCCGCATCACTAAAGCTTTTACCCATCCTACGGTTCTAAAACGCCTTTTCCTTGAGCACTTTTCTTCTCCCACTCCGTTTCCGGCTTCACCGGTGGGTCTAAGTCTGCGGACGGTGTTGGCTACTCTGTTGTTTTTCCTGATCACACTTGTGTGTCACTTACCTCCGGAGACTAGCATCTTCACAGCGGAGCTTTATGCTATTCCCTGTGCTCTTCGTCTGCTGCTCTCGTTGTCAGTCTTCCTTTGTAGTTGTTGTTGACTCTCGTAGTGCCCTCATGGGTCTCGGGTCCTTTAATCCGGTTCATCCAGTGTTTGTCGATCAAGCATTGGCTGTTTCTTGTTCACAGTAAAATTAAGCAGGTTGAGTTTTGTTGGGTTCCCAGCCTTTCTTATCCTTCTTATTATCTTAGCACCATCAGCAAACATGTTCATATAATTCTGTATACCAACTGGTAGATCATTTGGTATACAGAATTATATGAATATGTTAGCTGATGATGCTAAGATAATAGGAAGGATAAGAATTTAGGAGATTGTCATGCCCTTCAAGATGACCTGGACAAAATAAGTATGTGTAAAGTAAGCCATATTGGCGTATCTTTCAATGAGTGTGTGGATGCTGCCGCCAGGCTAGCTGTCCGCTCATGTCCCATCTCTCGTCAAGGTGTTTCTTATTCCGAATTTTACCTTGTTAGGCATTCCTCGATCCTTACCCGTTGGCAGGCTTGTTGGTCGTATGTTACTGGTAACAAACTACTTTCTCTTAAAGTCCAATCCTCGTGGCCGTCCTCCTACCACCGTAACCGGCAATGGGAAACAGCTCTGGCGAGGTTGCTTATTGGCCATAATTGCTTAACTCATGGTCACTTGGAGTGCCGCCCTGCTCCTTATTGTCCTAATTGCATTGTCCCTCTTACGGTCATGCATATCCTTGTTGAATGTCCTGACTTCTGGGACAGCGTGTCTTGTTTTCCGACCGTACCCCGCGGTCGCTTCTCTCGATGGTGTTCTTGGTGACTCGGATACTTTTGATACCGTTTGCCTTGCGTGTTTCTGTTCTCGTGTTTGCATCCTTTGTGATATTTAGTGCCCTCTGATTATCCCGCACAATTGATGGTGCTACATAGCCTTCGCAGTTTGGTGCCTTCTTTTTGATTATTGCTTGCCTACTTCGTTGTAGCTGTGATACCATATATTCCCAACCCTACCTGCTAGTTATTTATTGATTTTTTCCTCGGCCCTGTCTCTCGAAGAGTGTATCAAACTTGCCTGGCGTTAGTCTTACAACTGATCATAGTGACTGTTCGGAAAGTTTGCTCGGCCACCTTACTGGGTACAATGAGGCAGCTTTCAGTGTAGCATTTGTATACAAAGGTAGTTGTGTGGCATTCTGATGCCTCTGCCGAGATGTTATTCAATATTTCAGATGTGTGGCTGTGTAAATAGTTCAATTGGTGTCGAGCACTTTAACTTCTGTCGGGTGGTTCGGTTCAGGTTGCCGAATGCGTGTCCTATAAATGTTCACAAGCTTTGAATTAATGTTGGCTTTGTTAAATGTTGATAATATTTGGGCTTAGGATCTTAAGACCAAGTGTTTGCTCTTTGATGTTTTAGAAGTTTTCAGTCTTATCTGACACCTTTTAAATCGGGAACTCCTCCATTTAGCCCTGGGGTTTACAGCATCTTGTCTCGCAGGTCTCGATCACAAACCCCCTTTCCCTTTCCAAAGTTTCATTTAGCCAAAAGACTGGTTCATATCGTGAGTGCTGTTGTGAGTATACAGTGGAACTAGTGCCCACTCAGACTTTGAAAATATAAACATCGTTTTTCATGGTTGCCTTGGAAGCTTCCCTCATCCGGAGTTATGAGTGTTAAATATGGTGTCACTGGGGGCGGCCTGTGAGAAGGTGCGCTTTTCCAACAGCATGTGGTTTGTTGACTGGAACCAAACGGCTGCTTTTGTTAGTCTTTTCTCGATATTAAAGGTACTTAGCTTTGCTTCACAAATGTGTTTTTATCGCCTTGGATTTGGAATGCTTTCAAAGCTTTAGCACACAAAGGGACAAGTAGTTTGGTAGGTGTGGTCAGACCCCATGCATAGGAACAACTTGGTCAATCGAGGAATGGTTAGTAAAATGCTTGATAAGTTGGAAAAAGAAAATTGTGCATAATTCACTAACTTTTCTCTGAATTGTTTTCCCAGGTGAAATTGGAGACTGGAAGAACCACTTTTCGCCAGAGCTCGAGCAAGAGATGAATAGGTGGATCGAAAAGAATTGTGGAAACGCAATTTTCAAATGATACTCTAGTCCCTGAACACGGCACCGAAAAACTTGTTAAACGATTTAGTTTTAATGGCTGATAATTTGTTTATAGGTAAAAGTTTTTAAATTTCTAATGCCTTCAATAACTTTAATATACTCATGGATGTAATGAGTTTTTTACAGTAAAAATAATTTATTGAAATTAAGCAACTGAACTTTGCTCTTAAAATTCGGTTCAGTAATACTTTCATCATAATTCCATTGCTCTAACATGCAGTTGAATATTTGAATTGTATTCAATAGAGCAAGCATACTTACTTCTAAAGTAGTTTCCAAATAAGTGTTAGGAATTAAACTACTTTAATAGCAAAGTTTTAAATACCGAGTCGGATTACTTTTAAGTTTAACAAAATCCGGTTTGCTGTGTTTTCTGCCTTGGCTGAGGCAGAAAACCTTGACTGCCTCAATCAAGGCAAGGCTGCCTTGACTCCTGCCCACACCCAGGAGGTTACACATTAAGCCAATACAAACGACCATGTATTATGTAGTTACTAGTCTTTCGTTATTCGGGTACGGATTGTGCAAAATTCCCCCTGGTGGGTAAATAGTTATGAAACGAATAATTTCATTATCCATTTGGATCATTAAATTTTAGTAGAAATTAAAAAATATCAAATTTATTCCTGTGATTTTCTTACCTCTACTAGATTTATTATTGCTTAAGGTTTTTACCAATTTTTTTTTTATAAGACTGCAAAAATGTGGTGTAATGAATATTAAGAGGTGGTACCTTCTGTGGGTGTTGCTCAGAATTGTAAAGTTTTCTGATCATTTCTAAAAATAACTTTCATGTCGAGCTGGGATTCTTGGGGAAAAGTTTTGACTTTGTCAACCTGTGCAGATATTCAGATCACTTTGCCAAAGAATTTGCCAGAGGCGTTTTAGAGAGCCTCTCCAAAGTGTCGCCTTGTCGTGGTGAGGGGGACTCCTGTAAGACTCTTTGGGCCTGGTGAGGGTTGCCTTGGCCTCTTCTGCCCGTCGTTGGGTGTTGTACGTGTTCAGGAGCACGCATGTCGGGTTCTAGAGTCGACTGACCACCCGTTGGAGGGACTGCCCGTCAGGGGGCTGACCTTGGTGGATGGTTGTGTGTCCAGGCTGGGGTGAAAGAAAAGAGGTTTTGAGCCAGTGTGGGAGATTGCACGAGGCAGGACTCGTAAAAAAGGGGGAAGCAACGCTGGTGACGCACCCATTGCTGCACTGGCTAGTGCCTCTGCTTCCTGGTAGGTGGTATCCCTTGGCTCAGGCTTGCTCAGACTTTTAGAATTGATGCTGTATGGAAACGGAGCAGACTTCTCTTACCAAGGCTCATGGGGTGGGGGACCAGACAAGTGTCTGACTGTGATGGAAGGCCGGGCTCTAACACCTGCTACACAGACCAGACCAAGCTGCTGCTGACCCTCCTCACTACCCCTCTCTGATCCACCTCCCCCCCCTCCCTAATAACTGTGGCTGAGATGACCTCGTCACCAGGAGCGGCTCCTTCCATCATTGGGACCACTGTACCTTTTTCCCCGCCCCCCCCCCCTCTTACTAGGGGTGCTCGGTGCCCAACCCGTTCTTGCACTTTCGAACAGTCAATATTGACTTATTTAAAAAGTGCATAGGTGACATACTAATTGTGAATATTTTAGTTTACCTTGAAAAGCTTCATTAAAAACACCAACCTTGCCTAACCTTCTCAGTATGTTAAGATATGCATCTTATTACTTCTTAATTACAATTATTATTTAACCTATTATAGGTATAGGTTATGTAATAATTGTAATTACGATGCAATAAGATGCTTATCTTAACATACTAAGAAGGTTAGGTAAGGTCGGTGTTTTCTATGAAGCTTTTCAAGGAAAACTAAAATATTCACAATAAATTAGTTTGTCACATGTGCACTTCTTTCATACAGTCGATATTGACTGTACGAAAGTGCGAGAACAGGTTGCGGTGCCGTTCCCTACGCACTCGCACTACTCCTTTGTTCTAATCTGTTCCAAGCTTTGTTTGGTCCTGCTACATGGAATAAGTATTTTGATCTCAACCATGTTGATTCTACGTCCTGATTTCTTCTTCCTATAAGCACTTGGTTGATTCGGTGGATACCTTTGTCAACTTTAACCACACCTGTACTGGTACACATGTAGATCCTTCTTGGGAAGCAGCTGTCGACTTGGTCTCATTGTTGTGCATTGGGAAGATCCCTATTTGGATATCCAAATGGGCCGAGTTAAATATCAGCATTGGCAGTTACTCTCCCGCACCATTGTTGGGATTGGTTTTGGGACTTGGAAAGACTGCCACGAGGCAGTCTTTAAAGTCTTTCTCTGGTGGTTCTCGACGCCGTCCCCGCCACGGCCGCACTCGCACCAACCCTTCCCGTACTAATACTTACACTGCCTTGTTTGGTCCCGCTACGTGGGCTAAATGCTTTAATCTCCACCATCTGGATTCTACACCTGACGATTTCTCCCTCCATAAACACCTTGTTAATTCGGTAGATGCCTCTGTTACTTTTAACTCCACCAGTTACGGTACACGTGTCGTTGCTGCTGCTCCTTGGGATGCAGCTACTTCCTTAGCCGCTTTGTCCTGCTTGGAGAGACCCCTGTTCGGGTCTCCAAAAAACGCTGTTAGGTGCCAATGTTAGCACTATTCTCCTACAACACGATGTTGCAACTGGTGTTCGGGACCACAAAGATTGCTATGAGGATATTAAACATATCCTCGAAGCCCAAGGATATTCTGTCCTCCAGGTGGACACGTTTACTCGACCTTCTCGTAGTCATCGCCGTCAGCCCCTTCGAGTTGTTAAAATCACCTTTGATAGTAGGACTCTCCCGCCCCCTATTTTTCTTGCTGGTGCCAGATGCTCTGTTCAGGAGTACATTCCCTCTCCTAGACATTGCAATAAGTGTTGGAAGTTCGGGCACGGTGTCCTCAAATGCACAAGTACTGTGTATCTGTGCCCCATGTGTGAGGACGATAGTCATTCTAAGTCCGAGTGCACTTCTCCCCAGGTTCGCTGCCTCAATTGCGGTGAGGCCCACCCTACTTTCTTACGCTCGTGTATACACTACAAACTCGAGGAAGCCGTCCTAAACTTGAAGTACTGTGATAGTCTGTCTTTTTTCCTGAAGCGAGACGCCAAGTTCGTCGTCTCGCCCCTTTTACGGGCGTATCCTACGCTCGCGTGTTGCGTTCTACCTCTCCTCGTCCTTCCCACCTTCCTCGGTCTCACGACCGTTTCCAAGCCTTAAACCCAATCACACCCACCACCTCCTTCCCTATTCTTTTGCTTCCTGTCCCGACAGGTCTCCCTCCTTGTTCTCCGTCTGGGGTTTCCCCCCCCCCCTTCCTACCCAGTCCACCATCTCCCCTATATCTTCCCCATATCCCCCCACTTTTTTTTCCCCTCCCCTCCCCCAAGTCTCTTGACCCTCCACACCACCTGTCTGTCCAGGCTGATATCCATCATCCTCCCAGCAATCTTTGTTGTTCGCTCCCGTTCCTCTTCTGCTGAGATCATTGAGTCTGTCGCCCGGTACGTTGTTACTGGCACGCCTGCCTCTTAGTCAGAAACGTAAGCCTGGCTCCTCTCCAGCGGGGAAGAAGGCTTCGCTTTCTTCCTCGCCCCCCCTCCCATTTCAGTGGTCGGGACCCCCTGTCCCAGATATGGAGGTTTCTTTTGCCCCCGATTCCCTCTTGGTTGCTGCCTTTGCTGAGGTGCACTCCCTGATTTCTGCCCCCCCCCCCAACCCCTCCTCCAGCTGTCTTTGCCTGCCCCTCTCAGTTGTCTCCTCTGGACCTCGTCAGTCCGCCTCTGCTCTGTCCTGCTTCCTTCCCTCCATCCTTACTCAGTTTACCCATGCCTCCTAACCCTGATTTTGCTGACCCTGCTCCTGATTCTGACCCTGATCCTGAGATTCTTTACTAAACTGTGTTCTTCTTTACCTTTGTTTGTTGTTCTGTTACTGTCCTTTCTTTGTCTATTCTTCAGTGGAATATTCGTGGATTTTATGCCAACTTCCATGAACTCCAACTTCTAATTACAGTTTTCCCCACTTTGTGTTTATCTCCCGGAACCAATGCTTGGTGCTCGTCCTGGTCACTTTCGTGGTTATTTATTTCTTTCCCCCCTTCCCCCCCCCCCTCCAATTATTGCTGGGGCCCATAACTCTACTGCTCTTAATTAGTTCTGATATTCCCTTCGTTCCCTTATTTCTTCCATCGCCTACCCATTGTTCTGCTGCTGTCGTTTTTGTGGGTAAATGGTATACAGTCTGTTCCATTTCTCCCGCCCCCCAAATGTCCTGCTTTCCCTTCCTGATCTTAAGCACCACCTGGACTCCTAGCCAAAGTAAGTAAGTAATTATCAAAAGAAGGCACCAAACCGGGAAGGCTATGTAGCACCATCAAATACGCAAAATAATCAGAGGGCGCTAAACATCACCAAGGATGCCAATACGAGAACTAAAACGCATAAGGCGAACGATATCAAAAGTATCCGAGTCACCAAGAATTCTATCGAGGGACAGGTGACCGCGAGGGGCGGTCGGAAAGCAAGACACACGCTCGTCCTAGAAGTCAGGACATTAAAGAAGGACATGCACGACCGTAAGAGGGACAATGCAACTAGGACAATAAGGAGCAGGGCGGCGCTCCATCAAGTGACCATGGGTTAAGCGAGGATGGCCAATGCGCAACCTTGCCAGAGCTGTTTCCCACCGCCGGTTACGGAGAAAAAGGAGGAGACCGGTCACGAGGAAACACAACATTTAAGAGTACGTAGCTTGTTACCAGTAACAGACAACCAAGAAGCCTGCCAACGGGTAAGGACTGAGGAATGGATAACCGGGTAAAAGTCGGAATACGGAATGCCTTTACGAGAGATGGGACAAGAGCGGACAGCGTCCTTGGCGGCAGCATCCGCACGCTCATTTAAAGACACAACAATATGGCTGGGAACCCAACAGAACTCAACCGACTTAAATTTACTGTGAACGAGAAAGAGCCAATGCTGGATCTCGACAACTACTGGATGAACCGGAATAAAGGACCCGAGAGCCATGAGGGCACTACGAGAGTCAACAACAACTACAAAGGAAGACTGACAACGAGAAAGCAGGAGACGAAGAGCATAGAGAATAGCATAAAGTTCCGCTGTAAAGATGCTAGTCTCCGGAGGCAAGCGACACATATAAGTGCGATCAGGAAAAACCACAGAGTAGCCAACACCGTCCACTGACTTAGACCCATCGGTGATGACAGAAACGGAGCGGGAGTGAGAAGAAAAGTGCTCGAAGAAAAGGCGTTTTAGAACCGTAGGAGGGGTAAAAGCTTTAGTGATACGGGTCAAGGATGTACAAAACCGCGGAAGAGGGACCCTCCACGGGGGCAAAGAAGGAACAACACGAGGAGAAACATCAGAAATATGAATGGAAAGAGAATCCTGTAGGCGAGATAACCGGACAGAAAGAGGGAGGTGGCGAAGAGGAACAGGAACCGCAGGAGGGGTAAAAGTTAAAGCACGACAGAGGCGAGAGGAAGGATGTTGCAAGGACCGCGCAAGATAGCGAAGACAGTAGCGATCACGGCGGTCCTGGAGAGACAGGAAGCCAGTGTCAACATA